CAGTAATTAGAAACCGATTAAGAATTACTTTTACTGGAGAAAACTATTGATGACATAACAGAATTACATATATACAAAATTACTTTAAGTTTGAATAAAAAAATCTTTACCCTAAACAATAAAAGTAGATTATTACAAAGGTTATAAACCCCCAGAATTTAAAACAAATTGAGGTAAGTAGGGGGGAGCTGGAATCATCAAAAGTCTACAATTTCAAGTAAGGACAGTTTTCCCAGGCAATGTTGTGGCGGGCAGTCCAAATAGTGTGGCTGGAGAGTAGAGCAATTCGGCTAATATCCTTCTTGAGATTCTGTACCTGGCTTAAAAATAGAAATAAATAATAAATAAAGAAATATAAATATAAATAAACAAAATCTAGCAAGTGTCAATTGAGATATACATATATTTCAGTGATTTCGAACATACATGTACGAGTAGGTTACCTTGAAAATGTAACTCACGGTTGACAAACAACCTTCAGCTGAACAGGGTCTGTGTAGAATGACGTCCTATTGTCGGGACTGTCTTTGGGCAGCCACATATTAACCGGCATTATTCATCGATGAGAACTTCTCAGATGGCTGCGATCAATGTGAAGGCATCACACAACAACCAGTGAAATGCCATCAGGAAGGGGGCAGTCACTTGACCCCGTTCAGTTTGGCCAGGTAACTACCGGTAGTCTTTGTTCCTCCGCATCAAAAAGTTGCGGCTGAGGCTAAAGATGACACAGATATCTATGGAAGCCTCCGGCCAACAGCTACGTGTACATACCGTTTCTCATATAGGCAGATTTTTCAGATATGATTTTATTTCTCTCCCTTGGTTTGTTTGCCTTCTCTGGATAGGGCTTCTCGTCGCCGGCATGACCCTTCCTCGCTTCGTCAAGGAGCACTGGATGCTCTATCTCGCCTGTCTCAGCTCTCTAGGCAGCTATCTCCTGACTGGTTTCGCCTCCACATCTCTTATGCTGTTCTTAGGTGAGCGACATGTGGATGAAGAGAGCAAGAAAAACTTTACAGTGCTATCTGGTCTGCTGCCCTCAAAAGGCAGATCCCGCAATGTGTTACTGTGCCCTGTGCATGTACATATGTAATGCAAAATGGCACATAGGCTGAATTTAAAAAAGACTGTTTCTTGTCTCTGATGTTCTTTTTTCCATTCCAGTATCTTTCTTTTTTTTTAGTTTTTCTCTGTTTTTTTTGGTGAAATTCTCAATTTATTTTGACTTTTATTTATTTCAATCAATCTTTGTAGCCATAAATGCAACTCTAAAATATGTGACAGCTTTTTTCTTGTACACAAAAGTACCAAGAAAGGGATCCGGAAATCCAACTCTTGGTAAAAAAAGGCTGTCTCATCCAGGCCTTGACCTCAGCACTAGATCGACTTACAACATCCTAGTAAAAACTGCTGCGGGCTAGTAAAATGCATCCTTCAACTTGCCCTGCAGGCTTGGGAAGAAATACCTCTCTGTTTGAAACTGCCATTAGTTTGTCATATTTGTAAGTCTATTCACCGTGCAGCTGCGGTTTCAATGTGGGCCTGCTGCTGGACAGAGCTTTGCATACTGGGCGTACCACAGCCCAGCAGTCATGGTCAAAAGAATAGATGGATTTCACATTAGCACCGTCTGCGCATATCTGCATCGAAACTGAGGTTCTCTGTGTTGAACTTCATTGCGCGCGCCCGCGGAATCCACACAGTACATGCAGTGTCCGGTTCGTAAGTTTGAGGCCACTTTAGTTTAAATCACGCCCACTGCACAAGATAAACGACCATCGCAGGTACGCAATTACCNGTGTCGAGTCATCCTGAAAGACTCTTCCACTCTTGCATCTTGACTCCTTACTTTCAATCATCTGATCGTATTAAGAATTGAAGCTGACACATACAGCCTCGTTTTCAAATGCGGAACTGCGCAGATCAACGCTAAATTGGGATCCCTCTGTACCAGCACGAAGGGGTTAACAATGTGTCTGATGTGGTTGTCTTGCAGCCAGCGCTGTCGGGTGCATTCAAAACCTACCTGGGCCAGTCATTCGTACCATGCTGTCAAAAGAAGTGTCAGAAGATGAACAAGGTGAAGCCTTTCCCTCTTAATCATTTTTTTTCAAGATTTGTTTTGTCAACAATGAAGTTATATAGTGCTTAGCACTTTGGTTGTGCGTTTACGGGTATTTTTTGAACCAGGTACCCGTTTTATATCAATACTGGGTACCTGGGTACCCTAAAAATAGAAAGAACACTCGACAAATGGCATTGTGTGCAATCCCAGCGGACCATGTGCGTGAAACAGGGCTCTTTTTCCGCACATAGGAAGTAGCACATTGTTTTTTACCTTCGAGGAGAATCTCCACCACCTTTTTATCAAACAAAGTGTTGTGTTTAATTTACAACAAAAGTAGCTCCATTGATCTCTGAACCGGAGTTATGACTGCCAGAGCGTTGTCTTCAGTGGCATGATGATTTTTTCAACATTCAACCATTCGAATTCACAGGGTACCCGAAACAGGCCCGTTACTACTTGCAGTAAAGAATTATCCAAAGTGATGTTTCAATTGTATTTCAGGCGTTATTTTTGCAATCATCGGTGTCATCGAAAGCGTAGCCAATTTCGGATCGCCGCTGTTGCTGAATGCCTTGTACGCTTCGACGGTGAAGATCTACCGCGGGCTGACGTTTTTTGTGCTAGCAGGAGTGACCACCATACCAGCAACACTCATAATGTGAGTACTCAAACCTGTAACAAACGGGATTTGGTGTTGTCAAGTGGTTTTAGGGTGTTGAAATAGTGATTTGACTGTCCAGGGTTCGAATCCAGCTGTTTGGCATGGGCTGTGTCCTTTGGCAAGCCACTTTACCTGAATTGCCCGTCTCCACACATGTTGGCGAATTGAACAAGCCCCATGCAGCTTGTCTGCGTACTGCTAGCACAGGTGATGATTGTCAGAGTATGGAACGACGTAAAAATCAAAATATCCAGCTTCCTGCTTTTCCTTCTTATCTTTATAAGATAATAACAAATTTACTCTGCATAAATTACTTAAGGAGGAATCTTACTTTGGAAAACAAAATTGCATATCCCATTCCCGATCATTATGTCAGATTTAAAAATGCTTTTGAAATAGACAATTTCCTTTCTTCGGCTTCCTTAATTTGTACGCCTTTCCATTCCACAGTGCAATTTGATCCTTTGTTTCCATTCAAACTTGTCAATTTATTGAACTTTGCACCTCTTATTGTATGGTTCAATCAATCACGAGATAACAGGTGAGACGACAAACAAACTTGATATGCCCATGTTCAAATGTTTGGAGAGGTACAGGTCGGGCTTAAAAGCAAAGTTCATGTTTTATTAGAACACTGATCTATTCTTCTGCCGGCTTTGAAGAAAAGAACTGTAATCAGTGGAGATTTTTTACCTTGGAAAATCGATACAAATTGGTGCAGAATGCTAAAGTTTATTTAAATAGGTCACTGCATAGTTTAATTCTTCTGTGTTTTCCCCTCAAAATGGCCCTGAGACTCAGAGCACACATACTTTGTTTTTCCAAAGGCAATACTGCTCACAAAATCATTGTCCCAGTTTCATTACCACCTTTCACATTTTTAAAAAAAATTTTCAAGGTCACTTCCATTCCAAGTCTGTCGTTTCTTTGGCTCCAAATAGACCTCAAACATAATGATGTCACACTTTGTTTAGATGTGCGCTTTTCTGATGATGGTGAGGTGCGACAGGATCCCTCGAGTTTCAGAGGGACAGGGCACGTGTTAACAAAGCGTGGTGTCATGTTTTAGGTCTGTAGCAAAAGAAGTCCACTGAGAAACGACATTTCAACCTTGAACCCGTGGGTCTGGTTTCAAGTAAATTAGTCCAAGTATCTTGCCTGAGTGAAGTCACTTAAGCTGGAGTGAAACTGCAGTTTTGTCCCTCAATTCACACCTAGCTTATTTACTTGCATAATTTTCACCTTTTACTGACATTTGATGATCGTTGCACTTAGCAGGCAAAAGTCTGCTGTTGGTAGCAAAACTTGGTACTCTCTGATGGGTACACGTATATGTGCATCTAATCTGTGAAGGTGTACTTGTCTCATCACAATGTAGGATTCTGCACGGCATGTCGATACGCAAACGGAAAATGCACTTGAAGGACCTCAAGGAAAACCCAGCACCCATACAGGTAGACGAAAGCAAAGAGTTGATGTAGTTGCTCGTCTGTGTTTGTCAAGACCCTTGGTTTTGTGTCACCCTGAGCTTCTGCCCTGGTCGCCATTAACTCAGAGCTGTATAGAGAGAGAGAGAGGCGCTGGCTTCAGATATTGGAAACAAAATGGCTTTTCTTTATGTCTACGGTCGATCCACAGCATGTAGTTACTATACTAAATGTCCGTGTACACTGAGGCATACACCTGACAGTTTGTTTCCAAGAATGGTGTCACTAATGTCATGTGGAAATTCTTTTCATACTCGGCTATACCGCAATTCATGGCCTGCCTGTGCTGATTAACAAGAGGCCGAGGTGTCTTCAAGTAAGAATAAATTCTGGTACACTGAGTTCTTCACATTCACATGAACATAACAATTTGAACTCTCCACACTAAAGACTCTGTTGCTATACCTTGTGATTAGGGGCAAACCTTTGCTTAGTCACATAAGAGATGCCTTACGCCAATACACTGTTTACAATGAATAAGAAGGGTAAAAAGGAACCAGTCCATTCCAGAGATGGCGGTTGCTTTGTAAAAGCTTGCCCCAATTCACGAAAGATAGCAGCAGTGTCTTCTGACTGGGGGAATGGAAACCATTATGTTTCCGTGCAATCAGATAACTCAGTATACCAGATTTTATTCAAATTTAACTCGCAAATGGTCTATTGTCATTCTTGCATTTTGTTCTGCATCACGACCTCTGGGTCGTGTTTGAATACGATAGTGCTTAGTGCTAATTTCTCATTGTTACGCGCGGGAATATCTTGTGCTAACATTTTTTTTTACATGTAAAAACTCACTTTAAAATTAGATGGATTTGAATTTCTATTAAGTGCTGCGATTGCAACTCAAGGGTAAAAAAACACCTGCTGCTTTTTTAAACTGTTAAATCCAATTAACCCTCAAAGAGCCGGGGGAGGGAGAGGAATCTGCCCCCCCCATTGATTTTTTCTTAAAGCATCTTTAAGATTATTTTCTGCGTGCTAATACTTTATGACAATTTTTTCCAATGTTTTAGCTTCATTTTGACCCCAAATTTATGAAAATTGGACGTGGCGTTCTCTCTGCGTGATGTGAAGTTTACCGTGACTTTGTACGCAGCAGTACACCATACAAAGGACAGAGTGGTATCCTATCATGAATAATTAATTAGTCATAATTATGCAAAGACTTAATTAACTTACATGAAATTTCACACAGATGATAAGTATGGATACCTCTATGACACTGCTAAATTTCATTGAAGTACATCATCTTATGGTCGAGATCTGAGGCCCCCCCGGCTGTGACAAGGCCAATAAAGCCCGGCTCTTTGAGGATTAAGCCATTGAGATATTTATCGAGGTACTGCTATATGCATAGCATGCATTTGTATTGGTGTAATGATAATCGGAATGTACAAACTAACATCTAACATTTTTGGGGGGCACCAAGATTTTTCTTTTAGTGTGGCAACACAATTTGACATTTTAAAACCTTTTATGACCTTTTGGAGGGATGAGGCTACATTTTAGGACTTTTTACACACTTTTTTGAATAAATGAAAATGTAAAATAGGCCAACCCCCCCCCAAAAAAAACTAAGTTGGTTACTTTGCCTCGTTGAATGGGGTCAAGCAACTACTTTCGTGCTTATGACTTTTAACTGGTCTGACTTATATCAGTCACAATGATGGAGTTCGACCCATTTCCATGTAGACTTCTCATGGTGACAAAGCCCAGTTTACACTGGGCAAGAAATCAACATTTGCACTGGCCTCATATTCCTAAAAGTCCAAGTTGCACATTCAGTCAACCCTAACCCTCCTCAATCCTCCAAAACCGCCCGAAGGATTTTGGAGGATTGAGGGTGCATGGCAAAAGTGCATGGCTGACTGCAAAGGATGCCATGCGTGAAGGTCGTGGGTCAGACCTTGTGTTGTTCTTGCTCTGTCGTGCATAAATTCAGCGTGACATTTCTTTGGAATCAACCGCACTGCTCAAGAATGCCGTTTGCACTGTCTGAACATAATGCGAGGAATTGCCAGAGGATTTTGAAGGATTGAGGCAGTAGGCAGCGTCTTGCCCAGCGTAGCAAAATTTGGTGGAAGTTGCCAGAGCTACCTTTGGATACAGGCCTTTAAAAGGAATCTTGTACAATCTTGTAAAATCAGTCAGAAACATTCTTCCACATAGCATCCTTTTTTATAGGATGGCATACTGAGTGATACATAAAACCAAAAGCAAACACCAGACTAAATTATTGGAGGAAAGCCTTTTGACTAATTTGGAAGGATCTGATCATATCAGGAAATAGGAAAAAAGAGATTTTACATGGTACCTGGCTTAGAGTGTTACAGTTATAAGTGGGTCATTCCATGAGGTTGGGGCACAATTTGTGACGGTGTACATTGTGTTGTGGGTTCCATAAAAATGAACAGCTATTTCCCTGCAGGTGGATTCCAACTTGTACATCTTCCATGGCTGAATAAAGAGGTGTGTGTTATTTTTACAGAGTAAATGACCTACTCTACAGGTCATGAGAGGTGGTAAAGGTTACCCATGTAACAAGGACACCGCTCACAAATTATGCCCCAACCTCAAGGAATGACCCACAAGTAAAAGCTTTGCTAAAAACCTTACAATTAGTAATTGGGATAAGTTTTGGCAGGAGTTCCCTATATGGACATTGACAGATCTTTTGGTAAAGTGGAGTATCAACCATCAGAAAGTGATGACATCCTAAAATATCACATTTAGCTGGGAAAATATTAAAGACAATTTTTCAGGCCAGTCTCATAGGTCATGTGCAGAGGGTGTCGAGCAGTGTCCGCGTGTGAAACTTGCTCCCGCATTGTTTTAAAAAGAGGAACAACTGCTCCTATTTCTGTCCTGTTTTCACAGCCAACTTCTTAGCATCGTGCGTTTGTTTCGTGGGACAGGAGGAAGGGACAGACAGGCAACACGTCTTGGGAATTTTTTTATGGGGGAAGGGAATTTTGCTCTCTCCAAGTCAGTACAACATTGGTACTATGCTTGTTAAACGTAAACATTTTATTCACATGAGAAAGAAGGTTCACAGGTACAGTATTTTGATTTCTCTGTGGCCAATAATTTTACAGCTCAACAGATGGTTTCTTGATAAAGGCATCTACTGAAATGTTGACCTTAGAATGTGTTAGTATCCAAGTTCCAAAAATATATAGGAAGAAATTTTATAAGTACAAATTTTGGAACAAAATAGTATATTGTTATATTTCTAAGAAATAGGTACATTGTAATTCTGTTAACTCATAGAAGGCAGACCTAATTTGTAATGTATTCGGTTTTTTTTCCTTTGTAATTATACTGAGCCACATACTTTGCATTAGAAACCTGAGCATACATATTAAAGTGTGTGACAATTAAAAAAAAAATCGTACAATAAATCACAAAGGTGCCTTTCAGGAACACAATTTTTTTCAACTCCAAAAAGGAAGTGCCACAACCTGTACTTGTACAAAAATAATCCAAGTTTAGAACTTCCGAAGTATAAAAAATAAAGTTTTATTGCAAAAAGAACATTGCTTTTTCTGTTAATAATATTTCTTTGTTGTGCATAGTTTCTGTTTTTAATAATTTTAGAGCTTTTATTGACGACTGTGAATCAAATACAAACCACAACAAACCACAGGATAATGTGAAAGTAACTGGATAACATCAGTGGAAATGATTGTATTAACAAACATCAAAAACTGGGAAAACTCTACGGCGAATTTCGCTTCAAAAATTTCCCCTTGTCATTTCAATTTTTACTTCATTGGACGAACCCTGATCCCCTTCAAGTGAAGCATTCGATCTTGGATTTCAATATGCTGATTTACTGATGTACACTATGCTAACTATGGTCCCCTGAGCACCATAAGAAAGCACACACATAAAAGAGCTTGGCATTACCAGTACAGAGGTTTATTTATCCGCCCCCGAGTTGAAGTGCACCCCCAAGCGGCAAAAGAAAGACAGATGGTAGTAAGTTTTCAAGGTGGGTTCTTGCACGCGTTCTGCGTGTACCCAAAGACCATACATTAAGGAATAAATTCGTTACGCATACTCAGCGTGCTCCGCGTCAGATGCGCCATTGATTCCATTATAAACGAGTGCCTCTGCAGTGAGTACCCAAAAGAACTCCCTCTTTTGTTCCGCTCGGAGAGGTCAGGCTGTGCTGGAAGGCAACTTCTTGAACAGTTTACTTCAACCAGTGTTTTCCAAAGACCCGTCATTTCCACACAAAACAAGGAAATTAAATAATATTGGTGCAGTGTTGGAAATGTTCCTTACATGTGGCACGTCATACGCAATCCACTGTCAACCAGCCTCCGTAGATTTGTGCGTAAACATGGAATCACAACTTCATATGACGAGAAAGTACTCCCTTTACTTTGGGTGAGGGATGGCTCCACCAGTTCTTGGGGGTGTCAGTTGCAACGGACTGCCCTGTCCTCTCCCTGCAGGGAGGCGTAGCCTGCCCTGGGCTGCCAATACTGCCAACTTTGGATAAGTCTGTGAAGAGACAAGAAAAACTATGACCTGAATGTGAAGCATGCCAGGCTGCAAAACGTAACAGCCTCTGTTTGGGGGCTGACGGTCTCAAACTTTTGGGAAAGCAACCCCTTCTGCAGATATTGATTTATAACCAAATTATACTGTTGTTTTAACAATAGCAATCCAAGCACCACAGTACTATGGAAGAATCATTAGGCAGACATGCCAGACCTATTGCAATCATTACAGATCACATCATTCAATAAGGGATGTCAGAAAAAAGGGTACTAGTGTCATATCAATTTGACATCAGATAGCCTGGGAAAAACGTGTTGACGTCAAAAAGTTTGACGTGTCTGGACTTGGAAAAATTTGACATGATTTGACTTGACTGTGGGGATAAAACGACATGCGAATTGACTTTTGAAAAAAATGGCTTGTGCCTTGACTTGGAAAAAATTTGGCTTGTGCATCCATTTGAGGAAAAAATGACTTGGTTGCAATGAAGGACTCACGTCACAAGCAAAATTGCAATGACCAGAACGCCGATAGCCACGCAAAACGTGAGGGCTGGTAGGTGGATCCTGACCATGACCGAATACACCTCGTTGAGGAAGAACGGCGACACAGAGCGGGCTATGCTGACGATGACAGCCACACAGCCAAACAGGGCACCTAGATTTTAAAAAAAATGGGGGGAGGGAAGAGACCTTGAGCCAAGGGCTCATTGAAGGACCTTTCAATTATTAAAAGCACAAGCTATGAAACTTGTAGATGAGCTCAATGGCTGACATAGCATTTGTTAACATGGGCGCAAGTAATTTGGGGGAACATCCGCAAATATTCTTTTCCAGGGAGCGTACTGGGGCAAACTCATAACCTCAAAAAAAAAACCTCAAACTAACACGAGATGGAAAAAAAGGACAGAAAACAACTTTGATTACAGTGAATCAGCCTAGCACAGAAAAAGAAGTTTTCCACCGCAGTGGACCAAGTTGCTTAAAATTGATGAATTTTGGTACAATTAAATGTATCATGTTATACAATGTATATGTACACTACCCAAAAGAATTAAAGGAACAAGAGAACAGAATGTTTTTGTCATGGTCTATATGGGCTACCGTTAGAACAAGAGGCATTAAAGTTATGTGACAACACCTGAATGATTTTCACACAACTTTAATGCCTCTTGTTCAAACGGTAGCCCATACAGACCGTGACAAAATCATTCTGTTCTCTTGTTCCTTTAACACCTGTTTAATTCTTTTGAGTAACGTATTTTGTATCTGTTTTGTGTCTCTTCTGTATCTCAGCTTTTTTTGGTGAATTTCACTTGACACCAGAAATTCCATGTCATCTGTTTTCAACTGAAGTACAAAAACTATCAATGTCCCCTGTTGTCTTTACCCTGCTCTTCTTTGCTGACGGTCTTGGACATGAGTGACTTGAGGACTGAGGTTGACAGGACGCGTAGAAGACCCAGGGCAGGTGCTAAGAGATCAATGTGCAATCAAAAGACAAAAGACAAAAATAAACAGATGCCATTACAATCTAGTGATCTACTTATATGGTAAACATGTTACCAAAGCTGTAATTGCACTTTGCCTGGTCCCCAGGATGTATTTGTACATGGGTTATCAATATGAAGGAAAACTTGACAAAAGTCTGCAAATTGTTGTTGCATGGGTTACCAAAGAAAAGGAAAACTTGACAAAAGTCAGCAAATGGTTGTTGCTTGAAACAACCTGAGATTTTTCTGCCTTACCAACGTAGACCAGGAAGGCATTGGTGGTAGCGATAGCCGTGGAGAGCAAGAGGCCGATGCCAGACATGAAGCCCACGATCACCAGGCTGAACTCTGACATATACGGGGAGAGCAGCTTGATGCCAAACACTGAGCCTGATGGAGACACAGACAATAGGAAATCAACGTTGGAAGAGGTCATTAACATTGCCCATCAGACATTTCTCTGCCAATTACGTTGAATAGGAATTTGCAATCTGGAAAGTTAATCGACAAGCTTTGTTGTCGTCAGAATTCCATCACAAGTCCCTGCAAGTTCAACACAAGTCCATCACGAATCATTCCGTTGCAAGTCAAGTCACAGGCTACTGAAATGAGTTGTGACTTAGGCCCAGAGTTCCCTCCCGATCTTCACCCCGTAACTTGTGACTGGTCTTGCAACGGACTCCACTACAACAGTGACTTGGGAATTTGACGTATACTTCAGGGTATAAGGGAAGAGAGGAGAAAGTTTCTATAAAACTCACCAATGGCGGGACTTATGGAGTTGATCACACCAAACATGCCAACGACTGTGTGGGGCCAACAAAATGGAGCCCCTAGGCCGTAGATTGTGATCACGCCGAACAGCGACTCGTAGACTGAATCGTAGAGGAACTGACAGAGCAGCAACAGGAGGAGCTTCCAACGCCGGCCATTGACGTTGTTTCTGAAGAGCCGGAAGATGCTGAGCAGCAGGTCCTTGAAGATGCTGCAAGAGACCGGTCGCCTTTGTACAGTCTCGCGGATGATGCATGGCAGGGTCACATACAGAAGAGCTAAGAGAGCTGGAACGAGGAGGATGGCGTAGACCAGCCAGTAGTTGTTGGTTTTCTGCAGGGCCACGTTGATGGACAGGAAGGAGACTCCCAGACCGAGATGGGTCATGAGGTCGTTGACGACAAACCGAAAGCTCCGCTGTCTCTGAGCATGCTCTGCTGTGATGTCGGCGACATATGAAAAGCTCACCGCTGTCAGGAGGGCGGTGTCTCCGCACACGCCCAGCACAGCTTCCCCACCCAATAGAACCGCCAGGGGCCAATTGAAATAGGCCACCAGGAAGCACACTGTCGCCGCGATCATGTGCCCAGTCGCGCCAACAATGAGCATGGGCCGCCGACCCGTGAAGTCACTGAGCGTGCCCAGGACTAGCGCAGTCGCCATCGGCGGGAGCGTAGACATGCTCTCCATGTACATGGACCAGGTGGCAGTTTCTGTCTCGATCTTGACCTGCATGGGGTCCTTGGTGCTAGTGTTGGCGCAAGTTGTGGCGTTGTCTCCTGGCAATGTGTAGTTGTAGCGCTGAGCCAACCGGTGCTCTGTGTACTGGCTGCGCAGCGTGATCATGCCCGCTTGTACAAAGAACAGCAGAAACAGCACCGGCTCGACAGTGATCCGTCTCGGTCTGTGGACCACTGCCTTGTCACTGGGAGACATTACTTCCACTTCAGCTGCGGTATCCATGACAGCAGGTTACTACTGGAGTCTCAGGTCAACAAACATCTGCCAAGAAAGATCACAATGTTTTTTTTACAGAAATGACTTTCTCGGTAATTTATATCATATGGATATTCCACTGACCACTTAAATATGCTTTACTAAACCAGAGGATTTTGGACTGTTAGGGGTAGCTACCCGCCTTGAGCTGAAGTGCACCCTCACTGGCAAAAGAAAGACAGATGGTACTAAGTTTTCCAACCGGGTTCTTGCACACGTTTGGCGTGCACGCAAAGACATCAACATTCTAGACTAAGATCGTTGCGTGTACTCAGCGTGCTCCGCGTCAAACGCGGATTAACTTGCGTGCCTATGCGGTGCTTGAGTACAAAAGGACTGTCAATTTCATTTCAAAACGCGCCCTCTTTTGTTGCTGCTCAGAGTGGATTTTGCTACTGTCTACGTGTTGTATAAATGTAAAAAATCTACTAATCGTTGTTCTGAATTACAGTTCAATGATGTTTGTTCAATAAATAAGACAGAAAGAGTTTTGAACAGAAACAGACGTGTCCTATGTGAATTTCAGGCATGACCAGCACATGGGATCTGGGATCAGCACTGTCGCTACAATACCCATCACACTGACCGACCGGTGCTGATTTCAGGACAGATCGAGTCCCCTATAAACCACTCAGACATGCCAGTGAAGGCTTGGTAACAACTCTTTTCATAATAGAACCATTCGGCACATGACATGATTTTAACTTGGGAAAGACATTACATTTTTTGGAAACTTTAGAATTTCCGACTCCTATATCATGCTCTGCCCGGCAAAGGAGGACACCGTAGCTGTGATGTTTCGAGAGATACTGCTCATAACAGGTTTTCAGTTCAAATTATAAACCTAAGAATAAATGTAACAGTTCTAATAAAAATAATAAATAACAATTATAAAATGTTCAGGGAAAAAAACTTCGTTTACTGAACAAATGTCAAGCACTGAAACAAAATCGAATCATCAGACTAAAGAAACGTTCACCAAATTTGGCATTGAAATAACTGTAACAATAAGAATTGTTCCTTAATTTTTAATGTTCCATCCTTTTGACGCATTTTAGAATAATTTTTAGGTTATTTCCTGTTTTTGCCCTTTCCGTGTAAGCACCTTTCGTGGTGTCAGTTTACTTAAATGTTAAAATAATTATAATTTTTTATTCGATGTTTTCAATAAGACTTTTCATTCAATTGCTTTTTATTTGCTGGTACTTATTTAAAATTTGTTATTTTGTTTGTTCTTACACACAAATTTTAAATCTCAACACTGGTATACCAAGTTATCCTTACCATCTAATCTCAGTTGTCCGCTTACGCTTTGTGAATTTTATAAAGTTCTTGAGGAAATTAGTTTTATAATAATAACAAAGATCAGCCATGAGGTGTCTTCCTGAATGATGTCATCAAAGATTCTGTTTGTCGTGAACATGCAAATGACTATTTATTAGCAAGGCATCCAAAGGCCACAAATGTTACGCCAAAATGAATAATTAATAGAAGAATTTTGGTTCGAAGTGACACTAACGGGCACCTACCTGAATTTACATTGTAAAAAGCATTATTGAATCGGCCTTGTAATGATTACCGTCTTTGCTATTCCCTAAAGGTGACGTATTAAATTAAGTGGAAGTCGAGTGCGCTATCGCAGAAGCTCTCCGATAGGTCGGATTCTAGAGGTCTGTGGGCAAGACCTAGGCCTAATCGTGCATAAACGATTAATCTTTGATCTACAAACCCTTTTGACAAAACGTTCCACCGTGTGGTTACAGCAACATCGAATTTTGTGGGAAAAAAGGTCTGGGCGAAAAAAGTCTGGTTCCCTGCCTCAAGATTCCCTGACGACTCTTGATAAAAAATCTTAGGTCAGGCATCACCCACAGATATAAATAGATATGACGCAGGGGCCAGAGATTGAGATCCCGGATGTCTTCGATTTCATCAGTGGCAACGGCTCAAAAATGAGACTTTTCCCATATCCAGTGGGCAATACTGCAAGTGTATCCCCACTGAGAGCATGTTTCAGACACAAAACCTGCATTGGTCGAAGAAAGTTATATTCTGCATTTCGCCTGGCGTTTCGGCCAAGGCGACCTTCGATTTTAGTTCGTAAAGTCAAATATTGTACGACCAACAGCTGCCATTAGGATACGGGAGTTTACATTCAGGCTAGCCTACCTACCCGACCAGGAATAACCGAACATCAACGGTACCATCCGAGCATGCCGAATATAGTAGACGGGACGGCTTCGGAATATTTCGACTATTTCTGGAAAACTGGAGGAATTCCTCCAGTCTAGTCTTGGTCGGATCGCGTGAACATTGGATATGGTGTTCTATATGTGCCATCTGGTCGCATTTTTCGACGGGCGTCGCATTGTTTAACCGGCGTCGCATTTTTCGACGGACGTCACATTTTTCGATGATAAATTTTAACTTCGACCTCCACACAGCCCATTTGAAGCAAGATATTTGATGGAGAGAACCCCCACCTTTGTTTTGGTCATTGTTTGATCGGAATCTCAGGAATTCTTTACAGACTTCTACTTCTAGGGGGATGTGTTAGGTAACAATAGTCTACAGTGTGTATAGGGATTGGACAGGTAAGGGGGGTACCCCTCCGTCCCATATCTTGCCTGGTATAACACAGCCTGTAGCCTACATGCTGTAGCCTCCGACCTGAGTAAAAATGTATACGTTGCTATAACCACAACATGCTTTCAGCGAGGTGAACTTCCACGAATAATTGGGTTCATTAAAGGCCTGTTAATTTATTTACATACAGTTAATCGACGCATACATGCTAATTTAGCCGTGTCCATAATCATTAAAAATATGTACGCATATCTTTAGAATCCAAGTCAACAACGTCAGGTCCAGCTGGACCAAGGTTGACTATTGGCTTATTCACAATGAAAGGCGGCGCCCGTCGAAAAATGCAACGCCGGTTGAAAAATGC